GTATCGCCGCTGACAGACCTCTTGCGCTCCGGGGATGCCTTACAAGGGCTGAACACACTGTCCGGACAGTCCATAGTCGGTGGTGAACAACTGGCGCTTTTCTGATAGTCCCGTAATTCCCGTAATAGGGATACCCGGGTCTCAGCGTCCAGGCTTTGAGTGTTCGGTATGAGTGTTGTCGGCAATAGTAGACTATTAGATGCCGGCGCCTGAGTTAAGGGTAACTGTGGTGTCGGTGAGTCCGGTGGTGGGACTGGAGATACCCCTGTGCTGGAGGGGGACCGACATTCGCTGCCCTCTTCAATCACTTTAACCAGAAAACGTCTGGTTGTGGGCTGAGAGACGGTATGTTCAACGGTCTGATTAGCACCGGTATTAGTGATAGTAGTAGTGGTTGTGTTGATTTCGTGTGTTGTTTGCGTTGAGTCCGGAATATTCTGCGATTCTGTTGGTGTTGTCGACAAATTCTGGCGGTTAAGACACGTCTGTGGGTCGGCGTTAGCGCCGGTAGAGTCGCGCACATCCGTCAGACTCTGTCGCTCGCGATCTAATTGCTTGAATCGGGAGATCGCTTCGTCTATCACCTGCGGGTGCGCTCTCTTCTGGGACATCTGTTTCAGGGTAAGAGAGACAGTAAGTGAGTGGTGAGAGAGAGAGAGAGAGAGAGAGAAAGAGAGGGAGACAGACTCACCCTGATACTGCCGACATACATGACCTCATACTGATTAGAATATGTAAGAATTGTCTCCAATCCCTGTCCACTTCGGGTCTTTTGCAGTCCCTGTCCCGTCTGTTTGTGTAGTATTTCTTTACGCGATTCACGCATTTTGTGAAACAACTCCGAAACCTATCAATGATTTGAAATAATAAAAATTAATAATAAAAATATTTTTATATATTTTGTATTAATATTGAGAATATATTCAATAACAAGTTTATTGTAATACTAGTATAAACTGAAAGTTTACTAACGGTTTGAGTGAGTATTTTCAGTTTCATTGCATTGAAAGTGATTTAACAGAAAATGTATTTTTATTGCAATTGAGAAATTGAGATAAAAATAAATTAATTAAATGTTGTAAAAATGTTATTAGATTTAAATGTATTCATCAAAAGGTGTGTAAATATAGATGAATAACAATTGCAAATAAATAAGTTATCTATTATTAGTATTAATAATATAAGTGTTATATATATAAAAAGAATTTTTAATTTGAAGGACAATATTGTAGTAATCTCTATTCTTA